CGGGCGCCCCGCCCCCCCCCCTGCCGATGCAGGGGACGCGGGTTCGTGCCCCGGTCCGGGAAGATCCCACGTACGGCGGAGCGGCTGGGCCTGTGAGCCATGGCCGCTGAGCCTGCGCGTCCAGAGCCTGTGCTCCGCAACAGGAGAGGCCACAACAGTGAGAGGCCGGCGTACCGAAAAAAAAAAAAAAAGAAAGAGGAGGCAGGACTCACCGTTTCCCCACCAGGAATGGAACAGAGAATAGTGTAACTCGCTCCCACTTGCCAATCAACTAGCTGCAACAATTACCAACATTTTACCAATCTCGTTACATATGTCTTTTTACTAAAATATTTTAAGCAAATCCCAGACATCATTTTTGGTGGTGGCTTTGGCTGTCACTGTGAATTAGGGACGCCCAAGGGCCAGTGATGCTAACTATCCTCCGCTACAGTTCCTTACAATTAGGAACTGTCCAGTGCAATGTGCCAATAAAGCCCGAGGGAGAAACAATGAGATCAAAGGCAGGATTAATTTCTGAAACTTTACAGTGGTAGAAGTCCCAAGTGGATTCTACTCTAATCCTACAGGAGATACCATATTCTAAAAGAAAACATAGTTGGGACTAAATAATAGTACCAATAAATTATTTCAATGACAGAAATTCAGATTCAATGATCAGACCTAATTCAACCTTAATTCTGTTGTTAAAGCCTTCCTTTGTAACTGTCAGGCCCCAACTGATTTCCAAACTCCTTAAACCCCCTTTCTCTACCAAAGTTCCTTCATCCTCTGGTACAGTAGGCAGGCACCAATCTCTAGTGTGGTTATGCTCAGGCAGAAGAAATTTAAAAACTACAGCCTACTAGTGGTTAAGAATCCGCCTGCCAGGGACTTCCCTGGCGGCACAGTGGTTGGGAGTCCGCCTGCCAGTGCAGGGTCATGGGTTCGAGCCCTGGTCCAGGAAGATCTCACATGCCACGGAGGAACAAAGCCTGTGCGCCCCAACTACTGAGCCTGTGGCTCTAGAGCCCGAGAGCCACAGCTACTGAAGCCCGCGCACCTAGAGCCCGTGCTCCACAAGAAAGAGAAGCCGCCGCAATGAGAAGCCTGCACACCACAACAAAGAGCAGCCCCTGCTCGCCGCAACTAGAGAAAGCCCGCAAGCAGCAACAAAGACCCAACGCAGCCAAAAATAAATTAATGAATAAATTAATTAATTTAAAAAAATAAAAGCTGCAGCCCACCAGTTTAGGATTCAGCACCAAGGTACTCCACCTGCTCCTATGGTCCTGGGTCTTGCATTCCATTCTGAGAACTGAGTTTCTGTCTTATAAAATCCAAATTCCGACTTTACATCCTGCTGGTGGTAAACGGATCCTTGTTGGACTGATTATATGCCCAGAACCCCAGTTCTCTAGGGCTGCCCTGCCTTCCAGTAATGCCCCAAGTCCACTGCCTTCCTGCATTCCCAAATACCACCTGGACGCTCCCCAACCGCACTCAGCCCATCCGCTGGCATGGCCCAGCATTTCCCCCTAGGCCTCCTGACTCCACTGCTTGGTCTACCAGCTGTAATCCAATGCTGAGCCTCTGCGATGCGGATTCTAGCTGGCAAGGCAGGACCTGTATTTCTCCTGGGTGTGCCCCTACGCCCACCTCAGCAACTGGGTCTTAAAGCCAACTCTCGGATGCCCCTGATCCGCCTCCCTTCTACTGTACACCCCTGGGTTCGACAATACTAATCAAACTAACAGAGCTACTAGCATCCTTACATCTTTGCCGCACCTGCTCACTTGCACCTCAAAGTCCCTGAAGGGGCACAAATTCCTTCCACTATATACACAGGGAAATGAAGGACGGGTGACCTGCCCAGGGCCACACATAAACTCATGGCAGCACAGACACACTGTGTGAACCCTCAGGTGTGTGGTAGGAGAATACATACATACAGAAATTCTGCAAGCCCCCAACTGCAAACCAATGACCTTGCTTTCTCTGTAACGACAATGGGATCCTAAAACTTCACAAACGCTTAATTTTTTAAAGGCACACTTAATTCCTGAGCACAAGAGAACTCAAACAGATAAACCTGAAAAAATATGAAGCCAATAAATCTTTCAGAAAGTTGCAATTCATCCAGTTTACATGACTGAGCTCACGTAATTCTTGTCTCGGGACAGTCTCAGCTTGGAGCTTTTAGGAAAAGAGTAGATCACAGGCTGAGTCCTGGATATGTCACCCCCTCACCCCAACCCCATCACCAGGCAGATTCAGCTGTGCTGCCTGGTCCAGGTCCAAAGGGCCCTTCCTCCTTCACCACGCTCAGAACTATTTGCAGTGTCAGAGAGGACAGTCTTCCAAGAAAACGGGAGTGCTGTTCTTTGGTCCAGGACATGAGATTAGATGTCTTTCTTTCTGAAAAATGCAAAATAAGCCTTCATGCTTCAACTCTTGGGAACACGGACCAGCAGCCTCTAGGGGGTTTCTCATTTGAAAAATACACCTCCAAGTTTCTTTCTTCCTCGAAGATCTAATGACGAAGTAATGCTTGTCTAAATCCACTGTATTCTTCACCACAAGCATTTTAGCACAAAAGGAGGGAAGCAACGACTGCTCCCCCGGTTGGTGGGCTCCCTCTCCCTCGGTGTTGGCCCCCGCAGGCACAGCAGGCGACTCCCGTGACGTCCAGCTCTGGTTCCCACAGCCAGGCCACAGCCTGCTCCTGAGGCTTAATGAGAAAAGCTGAAGATGACAGTAAGCAAACCACCAGGCTTCCATTTAGGAAGAGTGAAGGGATTTAAACAGTAGGCACAGCTCTTCAAACAACTTGCGTCAAAGACACTGGGATTGCTGCTGCTGACAAAGGCGTACAGGGGTGGGAGGTATACAAACACAAAGTTATATCCTTCTACCGTAAAATCTGGAAAAGGGGAAGAAACACCAAAGAGCTAAAACTGTTAAATTAGTTGAATAAATAATTTCTGTAGGGATAGAAAAATAAGATAACTTTGATTTGGTTCAAGTTTTAAAACCCCACGGAATTCAGGAGCTTCTGCTGGTTTTAATGTGCAGATCTGGACTGTGCTGGTAGTGGCTTCTTTATTGCCTCGTCTTTGTACACTTATTAGTTCCTCATCATATAATTTAGAAATAAATTCAACATAAAAAAGTAAAGGAGTTATTATTGTTACGTGACAGCTACCGATATATTCTTTTGCTGGAAAGAAGGTTTGTCAATTCATCAAGTTATATTTTACCACCCACCTGATTACTGAATTTATTAGAATTGTACTTTGTTGATCCTGTTAATAAAATTCATTCGGCACACGCCTTATCTCTTAAAGATTCTAAAGACCCGTTATATGTACTTTCCTACATCTCCAACCAAACTAAGTATTCTGTTCCGCCTACTTCATTTTTCCTAAGAGTTGACAGTTTTAAAGCTAACATCCACTATTTCTACACGCCAATTTGAGTACTAGACCTTACATGAATGAATAACATTTTCATGACTCTGAGTTACAGCTCTCCAGAACTGTTACTGACTGAGATTTAAGGGCCAGTGGCATTCACTGTGAAGAAGACACTATATGGAAATTATCACAGCACAAATCAAAATTTGCTTGGAACAACCTTATTTTTCCTAATAAATACTAGACTTTTTCAGATTAGTATTCTTGCTACATGTCCTTCTCTTTAAGAGGGAAATAAACTGTTCAAATATACAGCTTCCTGTAAGATCCACAAAGGTTTTCTACAACCCATTAAACAAAGAGCCAAGAAAAGTGCTTGGCGGAGTCTGCTCCAATTTACTGACGCTCTGAATATGGAAGAGTTACAAGAAGCAAGTCCAGGAGGAAGGGACAGAAACTAACATTCACTGAGTGGCAGGTATTTTAATCACACTGTTGAAGTTAATCCTCACCACACAGGTAGTACACAGCAGAGTCAGCACTAGTGCCCACGTCTGTCTACGCTAACAACCTACACTTTAATGGGGCAAAGGAAGGATCTTAACCCTAGGTGCTCTGGGGAAAGAAGTCTCACTGAGAATACTGGTAAAAAGAGTATGTGTGGAATGATGGGGCTGGGAGGGATCACAGATCTTACGAGAGTGGTTAGAAAATAAAATGAGTGGCTCTTAGGTTTTCCTCCCAAAGACCCAGAGGACTAGGGCCTACAGACCACATATAGAACCGGCCCCTTTTGGGGGGACCATGGTGAGGAGAGGTAAACACAGAGCCATGTCAAAAGCTCTGAAAGTACCTGCCCCTACAACAGCTCCTAAAACTCTGGTCCTACAAAGGAACTGCCACTGAAGCCACGAGGGCTTAAAGAACACCACTTGTGTACACTCCATCTGCTGTGAAGTCAGAAAGGTTCAGTCTAAACCTTAGTGCTGCCAACTTCTCAGTTATGACATGGGCGCACTACCCCACCCCCTAGAGCTTCAGTCTCCTCGTCTGCCAAATGGAACAACGGGATATCCCTCCAGGGACAGCAGGCTTACATATGTACTGGAATAAGATGGAATGGAGAATAAAGAGGAAAATGAGATGATCTGACTTTAATCACGACTCCTGTCCTGCAGGACCTCGATGAATCCATAAGGCTGGCAGGAGGCTGAGGTGGGTAGTGGGGAAAGATGGTAGCTTCCTTTCTGCTACAGCTATGGTCTTTATCTCCTCTCCCCATTTTCTTCCCACTACTATCCCAACAATCAGAAAACATCTGTTCCAACTTGCCCTCAGCACAACTGTGCAGCTCCCTAAGCTGGTCCACCTTCCCCCTCCTACCCTTGTCCCAAACCACCCAGGGTGTTCAGCCCACAGGAAATGTCCTCGTTTATGTTCCCCACATGCTCCCTGCTCTAGAGATGCCAGGGTACTTACTGTTCTTCGAATAGGTACCTCGTTCCTTCACTGTCTAAACGAACTGACCTTCTCCTCCTTGGCTGGCTGTCAAGGACACAACGTCTAAAAGGTCATCTCCAGTCACCTCTTAAATCATTTCCCGATCCCACCTCTGGGCTCCCAGGGTACTTAGTTGGTACATCAATGATAACAAAACCTGTGTACCTACAGATTTGTGTTATTTATCTTTATAAATATTTGTGTATTTCCCCAGCACAGAATCAAGTACAAAGAACGAGCACTCGACAGTAATATTATATAACTTCACTAGTAGGATTTCTAAAAAGTCTACTAAAAAATCTAATACATTAACTGAAGGGAGATTCTGTTGTTAACTGGGTGGTACATTGACAGTAGGCTCCCAGGAAGGGAAAGCGTGGATTAACAGCAGACTCAGTTGGGCATTCAGACACGGGAGTAAATAACTTGGGAGGTGGGGTGGGGGGTAGAGGTGAAAAACAGAGGTGGACCATCAGCAGATGGAAAGAGTGGATTAACAGTAGACTCAGTTGGGCATTCAGACACGGGAGTAAATAACTTGGGAGGTGGGGTGGGGGGTAGAGGTGAAAAACAGAGGTGGACCATCAGCAGATGAAGTGTTAAATTCACGTTCCATAGGTCAAGAGTCTGCTCAACTGACTTTCTGTTGGGCAAGGGAAAAGGACATGGAGCATGGCACCTTAGAACCAAATAACAAAACTCTCAGTACCAGCCTCGGGCCTCCAAAGGTCACGGACAGAAAGCAGCCTTCTAAGGGTCTGAGGAAAGAGATACGACCCCAGCATAAGAAAACTTCAAGTTAAAAGCATCAACAAAGGAAGCATGACTAGGTTAGAGGAAGAGCAAAAATTTTCAAAGCATGTGTTCAAACCTTTTACATATGGGTATCTAATAACTGTTAATTAAAACTCAGAAAAAGCCACAAAACAATTTACCCTAGCTGCTGGCTAGAAGATTTTCCCTCCAATGTCCCTCAGAACTAAAATCAGATAAGGGTTGGAGTCTCACTCTTCAAGGACATAGTGACCTATGTAATTAATTAGCCAGGAAGCTGTGTCAGACCTCATTTTATTCTTCTACAGATGATGTCATCTATACCTTCTACAGTCAACAGATTCCTCTTCAACTTTTCCAGGGTTTCTATGGTAGTCTAAATATTTTTACTCCAACAAAACCCCCTTCTCAACAAATAATCCCCCCAAATATCAGCTCATGGAACAGACTTTTCTGGTGAGAGAAAAATGTAATAGCTTCAAAGGAAAGCAAATGTAGTTTGCACTTCCTTAGGAAACTCTATATAATTATGAGAATTTATTTGAAAGAATTCTGGTTTTCTATTACAAAAAGGTATTCCAAGTGCAATTATCTGTTCTTACCATACATAATAATAGCTACAGAGCTAACCCGACACAGGATAACCGCAGTGATTTTATCCATTAAAAAAACAAACAACAGAAACGACTTCCAGGTTACTTGCTAGATGGATGGCCCATTGCAAGATCCCAGCTTGAACCCCTCAGAAGCACAAACGGAAGAGCAGCTTCCCCCACATACCTATCTCCTCAACGTTCCACCCATAGTTTCGAGAGTCTCGGAGGGCTTGTCCTAACAAAGCTGCTTGGTGCATCAGTTTTTTAGGTATGCAACCCACATTCACACATGTTCCTCCGAGGCCTGCAAAAGCATTGAGAAATCAGTTTATAGCCTGTATTACAATCCTCCAAAGAAAAAGGGCAACGATTATTACTAACATCACAGAGGCGATTTCCCTTCTATCCCTCTTGAGTTCTTGTGGTTGGACTAATGATAAATTTGACATAACAGATCCCCAGGAGAAAAAGAAAGAAATTTTAATTTGTGCACATGAAGGTTTCATAGAAATGGGACCTAAGAAGTAGCCAAAGCAGGCAGTTTTTATACTTTTTAGACAAAGAAACAATACATTTGTGAGAAATTGACAGGACAAAGAAACTTAAGTTTTGGGTGCCCAATTATTTAAGAATCTAAACAGAGTTTAGGCTTGGGACGAATTAAAGAGGTGACAGGTTCGTGTACAATAGGCTCCTCAGCCCCAAATTCCCTATCTTTTGTGATAAGGCTGCCTCTCTACCTCCAAATGCAGGAAGTGCACCTTTCACGTGACTTATTTCCTGCTTTCAGAGACAAGAAGGAGAGCCAGAGTGTCCCTCTTGCACTGGCCATTTCTTAAGTAACTTTAATTCAAAATAATCAATATGCCACTGTGTGTATTTTGGGGTGGCCTGCCCCAAGCACCAGTGCTATTCTCTTAAACATCATAATTTATTTGCTTAATGTAGCCAATACTTTTTATATAAGTTTATTCCTAAGTCTCGTGACATTTCTAAGTTCAGAGGGCCTTATAGACCAAACACAGCAACATTACCCTAAAATGAAAATGAGCAGATTTCCACAACTTCCACATACTTCAAAGATTCAAAATTAATTGACTGCTGATAAAAATGCCAGAAACTGAAGCCTTACTTTGTGCACAACCTTACACTTGCCACCAGCCCTATGAGTAGAACTGATAAAGGGGCTGTTGAGCTGGGCGTGGCTGGACTACAGTGGGCCTGGGACCACACAGAAAATCTGGTGTATACAAGCATCTCTTTACGGAGGCGGTCTATAGCCTTCGCTAATTCTCACCAAAGGATTCATGACACCACCCCCCCACCCAAAAAAAAAAAAAAGATTTAGTGCCTCTGAGTTTAAAGAACATGGTGATAACTTGTCTCCGTTAGGCAGGTGGGGAGGTAGCCAAAATGGCATGAGTAAGACTGCAAAATGGCAGTGGACTCCACAGCGAAGGAAATCGAAGCCCTCTCAGGAGCCGAGTGTCATTACAGAGTGTGAGCTCCACAGGCCAGAGGGACTACACCCAGCACCAGAACAGCGCCCGACACAGAAGTGACACCTTCACAAATATTTGATGAATGAATTAGAAATTGTGACACTGTCTTATCCAGACCTCCTGCTTCTTCTTGCCTCCTTCTAATTTGAAGCAGCTGAGTCATCCTGATGAAACTTACCTATTTCAACATTTAACTGGAGTCCATCTTAACTTAGCACAAGTGAAAGAAGTACATGTTTTGGGGGTTTTTTTTCCCTTATTTAATTTTTAATTTTAAAATTGGACTTTAGGGGCCCTTCAAACCAATGCTAGGGAAAAACCTGCTCCTACAAAGTCACTTCTAAGGTATTTTAAAAGCCTACCCCATCTAGTTCCAAGAGGGGTTGGAGTGACAAAATCCAGGACCATCACCTTCTTGTCATATTTGGCCGCCTCCTGGAAAATAAAATTATTAAAATGAGTTGGAATGGTTAACATGATGGACTGGAAATGGGCTGTTGAAAACCCATGCTATTTTTACTAAGCTATAATGCCTAAAGCATAACCAATCATTAATACCTGAGAATTTCATATACCAAAACGATTAGTGCAACTCCAAGGTAAAAGTTAAGCAATACTTAGACATAAGGGTAGCTTTAAAGAATATGCAGATTACAGTTGCAGAACTGTCAGAGTCAGCTGGAATCCCTAGAATCCTCTTATGTAATTCCAGCCAAACGATAATAAAGTAAGCAATAATCTGAAAAATATGTGGCCATTTCTAAGCAAGTGGTAAACAGGCAGTAAAACATATACTGATAGTCTACAATCCTTGATTCAACCTGTATCCAGTAAGACAATATTTTTATAAGTACTTCGAAGTTTTATCTACTTCAGTTTCTAAACAGAATACTGGAAAAGGTTTTCTTCTGAAATTCAGATTTCCTAAAATGTTCACGTGAAGAGCCAGTGGAGGAGTTGATGATCTCTCTAAGGTTTCCGAATCTGTTTTAGGGGAGTGACGACCATCACAAGTTCATTTTGCAGAGCAGCCTTTATCTGTCTCAGAGAATAAGCTTTGTGTATCTGCAACTAGACCTCCAAAGATTATTTGAAAGGACTGAGTCTATGTGTCCTTCAAAGCCACCACTGCTAGAATAAAAAAAATCTGAGATTACTCCTGAATCATTTACAGCAAAGCAATGCTTGATGCCAGACATTGGCCTGCTCCCAATTCGGACAGCTTCATCGGAATCTACCGTTACTGATTCACCACAAGCTACACCTTAGAGGAGGACAACTACCTCATCTTTTAAAACAAGGTGATAGGGAACAACGACAGGCACAAGGGCCCCTCACACATGGAAAATGTATCTCAATTCAGGGCCAGGAGCCGTACTCCTAATCTCCTGTATTTATACGTCCTGTACTCCATCACCTCCAGGCCACAGAGTTAGTGGATACACTCTTACCTCATTTCGTACACAGGGGAGGCAAAAACTTTTAGTAATTAAGCTTAAGAAATCCAACTGCTCTCCATCTTTCTACTGGGGAGGAGGTTCTGTGATTAGGGAAATCATCAAAGTGAAAACAAGTAATAATTATCATATTTATAAAGAATAAAAATATATTTATTTCTTTTCAAGCCATTTGCATACAAACCCCTTATTAGCTTTAAAAAAAAAAAAAATCATCCAAACTTAAAATGAATGAAAATGTGCCCCAGAATACTGGCCCCAGTATTTTTATACGAAGAATATACAGCTGAACCTGGAAAAATGTCCTTAATGTTCCCTGCCCAAGTTAACGTATAAAACATCACAAGAGTAGTTCAGATTCCACAGGGAACCTGGAGAATGTTGTCGGGGATGTGACTATTCTACCCATATCCCAGAACACACAAGAAGCCTTGCCTTAGCGGCCGCCAGTCCTCCTGAGCCCCCTCCAACGATGATGAGGTCATAGTCATAGGACTCGGGGAGATCCTCGGAGCCATTCATTTTCAGTAGATTTTGAAGTCTGCCCTCCTGATAAGCCTAAAGAAGAAAAACAATGGAAGTAAAAATAACTTAAAAGCAGCAATGTCTGAAAAGTTTTGTGAAAAACCTTTCCTCAAAGAAAAGCAAAGGAAAAATATTGATTTACATCATAGCATGCAATGGAAATGTTCAACCTTCCTTCAAGTGGTCATCAGTAACCTGCTTTCTGTTAGGACTGTCCTAATGCATCTCCACATCACAGATAGCTACTCTGAAGTGTCCTCATAGTACACAAAACTAAGGCCCTGATGGTCCGACAAAATCAACTTAGACCTAAATTAAGTTTGATCGGCTCTTTTTCCCTAGAATTTTTAAACTAGGCTTTAAATTAGGTCTTAAAAACATCGGTACTATATGTTTTTAATAGACCCAATACAATTTGGCAATCATTTTCACTTTCTAGTCAAAGGTAGAATAATGAGTAGGCTAAGGTCATAGATTAAGATAGGGATCTGGTAAATAGCAACTGAAACAGGTTATAGCCAAATATTTAAAACTTTTTTTACATTGTTTAGGTAAAGCATAAAATCTAGAAATTCAAAACAAAATCACTAATTGACACTGACCTGAACAAAAAGTTAAAAGTCCCTGCTTTCATAAGACATTTGAAATAAATGGGGAAAAAAGGTAACAAGTGACCCTTAAAGCTCATTTCTTTAATATGCTTATGTATGAAGCCTCCTATATTTAGTAGTTTCCATGTACTTGGCATTTATAATATAAACGTTAGACTTTTAATTTTAAAATATCCTTTGATTCCACTAGTTTAAAAACACATTAGTTACATTTCATATTAGCATGGAACACTGTTTCCGTGAATATTTAAAATTATTTCTTATTTTAAAAATCTGGGGCTTCCCTGGTGGCGCAGTGGTTGAGAGTCTGCCTGCTGATGCAGGGGACGCGGGTTCGTGCCCCGGTCTGGGAAGATCCCACGTGCCGCGGAGCGGCTGGGCCCGTGAGCCATGGCCGCTGAGCCTGCGCGTCCGGATGGGAGAGGCCACAACAGTGAGAGGCCCGCGTACGGCAAAAAAAAAAACACAAAAATCTGCTAACATGAGAGAATGATTGGAAAAGTTGTTAACAAGCACACAAAAATGTTTTTCTTTTTTTTTTAAGTCAAGTTTTAACCTTGGTAATCAAAAAAGCCCCCAAATTTACCAGCCCAGACTGCACATTTTTCTCCTGCCTACCATCAGATGTGGGGGACAAAAGGCAGAGCTTAGGATCAGTAGAATTGGATGCTTGGGATGTAGAAGGGGGTGCAGTATGGAAAGGTGGAGGAGGCGCAGCACCGTGGCTGCCCCCGGGCAGCGCGGCAGGTACACACCATGGCTCAGGGATTGGAGGGAGAGCACCTGGAAACCAGCAACAGCAGGGGCAAGCCTGCATCACCCTGTCTGTACAAAAGGTCTAACGTGAGAGGCTGGTAAACAGAGCCAGTATTCATCAACTGGCCGAGGCTCCTCCAATGCAAGGCACAGTGGGGAGAAAAACAATTTGGTAATGACAGCCCTTCAGATCAACGGAGCAATATAAGCCTCAGGTCACAAGCGTTCCTCTCTCTAGCTGATCTCAGAGCGAAAGGGCTGACTTGCTATTTGAAAAGAATTAACAAATAGATGCAGCTAGATGTTCTTCTGGAAAAATAACCATTTTTAATCTCAGCCTCATTTTATCTGCATGTACTTAACACAGATGGTGGCAAAACACAATCACTGGCTGCCTAAAAAAAACCCACCCGTTCTTATAACTGCCTCCCCCAACACATCTACTGAAACAAAACACAATCACTGGCTGCCTAAAAGAAACCCACCCGTTCTTATAACTGCCTCCCCCAACACATCTACTGAAACAAAAGAAGGAAAATGCACTGTCATGCTGGAAAGCTACATACTCCCTCTACCAATGTTTATAAAATTCTGTTCTGTACTGAAATTTTGTATCAGACCTGGGTTCTTATGGTTCAAGTTTAAGTCAAATTATATCAACCGGGCACACAGATTTTACAAAGAAAGCTCTGAGTGAGCCTGAACATTTTTAGTTCTGTAAAGTAAAATCAGCAAGACAGGCAACTAAGGCATTCAGCTGACCCCAGAACTAAACATGATGTTCTAAAATTTTAATCCAACTTAAAACTGAAGTTGCTGTCATTCAACTGCAAGGAAGTGGTTGCCCATCTGAGATAAAAGTAAGGTAGACAATATAAAACAGCTCTCTCCTCCACAGTGTAAGGAAGGCGCACGCAGATGGCGTTAAGGAGACACAAGAGAAAAATGCCCCGCATTCTCCAATTACGACTGCTAGAAATATTGGTTACTACTGACCAGAGAAGCTGATAAAGAATAGGAGTTCTCAAACTTTTAGTCTCAGGATCCCTTTAGAACCTTAAATTATTTACAGCTTTGGTTAATGTGGAGCTTAGTATATTGGAAACTAAGAAAAAAAATTTAATATCTTAAATATTAAAATATTTTGTTATTAAAATATCTTTAAATTTTAAATATCAAACATCATTGTTAAACATAAACAACTGATTAAAACATTTTTAATTAGTGAGAAGAGTGGCATTATTTTATATCTCTGTAATTCTCTGTGATGACTATCTTTTCTGTGTTCAGTCTGTTGCACGTAGCCTCTGGAAAACTCCATGGTAGACTTGCAAGAGAATGAGTGAAAAAGGCAAAGAGCACCTTAGTATTAAGATAATTCTGACCTCAAGGACTTCCTGAAGGGGGTGGGCAGAATGAAGACCACATTTTGAGAACCAAGGACAGCAGTGTAAACATACACCCCGCTCCCGCCAGCAGCTGTTTGTGAGGTTTACAGATTGTATATTCTTCCATCTGCCTCTCAATGCCTTTCCTCCACCCCACCCCTAGCAAAAACAGTGCTCCAGACTCCCCCAGAAAGGCACAATGCTGAAAGCAATTCAGATTTCTTTAAAATCTGAGTAAGTCAGCTTTATTCTTCCCCCAAACATGACTCCTATCCTTTGCGCACAGGTTTTTGTTTTTTTAACTATCACACATGAGCTCTGGTGTGGAAGTGACCTAGGTGAAAATACCTGCTCTATCACTCTCAAGGCTAGGTGATTTGGGCTCATCACATAATCCTTGGGAGTCCGTTTTTTCCTTTTGTAAAATCAACATTTCCCCCCACCCCCACCCCCACCGCCACCTGCAACTGCTGAGCCCGAGACAAAGCATATTGGCACCGTGGTTGGTAGGAAAAATCCCTTCAGTCACTAATTCTCCCTTTCCTACAAAAGGGAACCTGCCTGCCCAGAGGGGCTAAGTCAAAAAGCTCTGGCATGTTTCACAGATGTTGTCCCCTGCACTTACCTGCATCACCTCTCACCTGAAATGCCCTCTTCCCATCAAATTCTGATCCAGTATATCAACTGCATGATGTTTT